AAAGCGGATACATACCATCAGTGCCAGGAGATTTATTTGGATGCATAGAAAAAAGAGCTTTTTTGATTTCTTCTTCCTTCACTGGTTGTATCAGTTGCTCATTCATCTGTCTTGAGATAGTACTTGGAACACCTTGAGTGTTACATCTTGCTCCTGTTCAGAATTTGCTGTTGTAAGCAGCTGTTGGTAATAGCTGCAATTTCCTTTGTCATTTCTTGTTCAGTTTCGCACCATTCCCCATTGCTCCTCTGTAAGGCTGTGATTTTGTTCCTTTTCCTTGTGGCCATCACACTTGCATGGAAATAAGCAGTGTTCTTGTCCCCTTCCTGCAGCCACCTGCATCTTGCTTTCTGACTCCAGTAAAGTTCCTCCTCTTTGTATGCTTTGCTGAGTTGAAGTTTCATATCCACTAGCTGCCCTCGTATCCCTTCTCCATTTGACTCTTTTAATTCCTGCATCTTCTTTTTAATCTGTTCCATTTTCATCCCAGAGTTCATCCTCAACTTTCTGTTCCATATCAACAGTGCCATTCGACATTCTTTAATTTTCCTCATCACTTTGAACATTCTTGATCCCTTCTGTTCCGTTCCCCATGCAGCTTCTATGATACCTTTACTTTCCCCATTTCTTGCCCACCTTTGGTCAAAATAAAACCTTCTTTTTGTTTTTCTCTGATTGGGGATAGTGTCCAGGATAAGAAAACTGTGATCTGAGGCTTCGTTTTCTTGATGAATACAAATTGCCTTTTCAAAGTGTTGGTACCAGTTTACTGAACCTAAACATCTATCTAGTCTCTCTCTCACCTCTCCCTCCCCTTCCCATTGGTTACACCATGTCCATGGTTTTCCTTCAAAAGCTATTTCCACCAATTCATTTTCCTTTATAAACCTATTAAACTCTCTGAAGCTACCCTCAGCTCTCACTCTCCCCCCCCCATTTTTCTTCCCCTGATCTTATATCATTAAAGTCCCCCACTAAGATCCAGTGATCCCCCCAATTCTTTTTTTGCTCTATCCTTCTCCATTGCTCTTTCCTAACGTTTTCCTCAGTACTAGCATACACTCCCACTAGCCACCATTCACACTTTGCCTCCAGGTCCTTTATTTTTACCTCTATGAAGAAGTTACCATCATTGATACTTTCCACCACCTCCTCCTTCCAGAACAGAGTTAAACCTCCTGCCTTGCCAACCAGATCTACCACATAACATTGATCGAAATTCAGTTGCCTCTTTACTTTTTCCATCACTATTTTTTTGTTTTTTGTCTCTCTCAGGAACACAATACTTGGAAAGTGGAGATATATCATCTCCTTTAGTTGGGGAATTGTCAAGGGTCCTCCCACACCTCGACAATTCCACACTAGTGCCTTCATTTGCACAGTGGAGGCATTCCAGGGATAGCCTCCAATTCCCCTTGCTCTTTTAGCTTTTGGACCTCCTTCTTGAGTAGTTTATGTAATGGTTCCTCCCAGTCATCCTCCTCCATTGGTTCCCCCTCCTCTCTTGCTCCACTCATTTTCCTTTTTCCTCCTTTTGCCGCAACCTGGATGTTTGTCTTCATTTCTCTTAGTGGTAATCTTTTTGATCTGTGAAATCCTCTTTGTTGTTTTCTTTTTTCTTCCATTCCTTGATTAGTCATCAGCACCAGCTTTCCTTGGTTTTCCCCTTCCATACTCACATTTGTAATGTCCATTTGAGCTGATAAAGATGTGTTTCCTGTGCCCGCCTCCAGGTCCTGCCCATCCATATCCATTTTGTTCTCCATCACGCTTGATTTATTCTCCTCATCCATTTTCTTATTTGGTAGCTCATTCACTCCTACCCGTTGTAGATTTTCTTTCTGCCATACCTTCATACTCCCCCCCTCCCTTTCCCCTCTATCATTTCTTTTCCCAATCTCCTCCCCTTTGTCCCTTACATTTTCTATCTTTCCCTCTTTCTCTCCCCCAACCCCTTTTCCTCCCCCTTCTGTTATTCCTTTCTTTTCAATTTGCTTCCTTGTATCTAGAACTCCCATTGTCCTATCTGATTCAACTCTTTCCTCCCCTTGTCCTTTGGTATGGTTTTTTACCACCATCTCCTTCCCAGTACCCTCCCTAATTGGAGATAGCATAATGTTTCCTGCTCTCATCCATGGTCCAAACTGAGCCTCTCTATGCGTCTGATTCAAGTTCATTTCCAGTTTACACACCTTATCTCCATGACCTATTATCCCACATTTATAGCAGAAATCCGGGCATCTTTCATACTTAAATTCTACCCAAACTACTTCCCCATTGAGCTTTACAGTGGTGCCTCTGATAAGAGGTCGTAATAGGTCTACCTCTGCCAATATCTTCATGTGCCTCCCCTCTTTCCCCCCTCCTGGAGGTATAATGGCTTCCTTTACATTTCAAAACACCCTTCCGATCTTTACTCCCGCTGCACTGCTCATCCAGTGGGTTGGCAAATTCCATATCTGAATCCAAAAAGGTGAGAATCTGAAGCACTCAATTTTCTTTTCAAAACCTGCATTCCATTCTCTAATCACTAACACTTGATTATCCAGGATCCATGGTCCTCCTCTTAGCACTCTTTCTCTTTCAGCTTCCTTCTCGAACTGAAACTGGAAAACATTGGGTCCTATTTCCATCACTCTTAGGTTTCTGGGGTACCCCCAGACATGATTAGTGAAATTTTTAACTCCTGTGAAATTAGCAATCTTGTCACCCATTATTCTCCCCACTAGACTTCCCCTACAGTCCTGTATGCTTAGCTCCACGTCCTCATCCTCTAGATCTATTCCTTCGACCTCTTTTTCTGACAGATCAAACCTTTTCAGTGCACTAACAAGGACTTCCTCCATCTTCTTTTGGGCAGCTCACGATGTTCCCCGTACTATCTCTCGATGCTAAGAGCTCCTGCACCACCAGCTGAAGAAGCAGATGCCCCCTTGAAACAAAACCAGAGAGAAGATTTTTAAAAAGACTAGTAAAAGCCAGAGCCAATAAACTAAGAGTAAGAGAGAAGAAAACTAGCTACAAACGAAATAAAACAGAAAAAGAAGAAAAACCCCCTCCCCCCTCTACACAGAGTGAGGAATTGCAAGTTCTGAACTATGTGCACATGGATTCTGCCTCCTGCTCATGGTCCATTACGTGTGTTTCCAGCTGCAAAGAAGAAAAACTGGTCTTGGTAGATATGAAAAACACAATCTGTAAACGTATTTGGTATTGTAAACAAACGGGTCTTTGTTCAATTGGTACTGGTGACTAAGTAACTATCTTTTGGAGATCTTTGCTCGATCATTCTTGCATACTGAAGTTTTGGAGGTTGTGTTTTGGGATTTGAAAATTTTGAGTTTAATTATTGGGCAGGAGTTTTCAGGTTCACTCTCCTACAGCGAGGGGAGGAGCTCTCATTTCTAGAGAGAGAAGCTCTCACTATTGGAGAGAAATTTAACCTATATGAACCAACTTAAAAGATATTTTTCATCCTATTAGGCTAATGTTTTTATTTCCTTTTCTGGTGCATCCTTGAAGGCTTCAAAAGCAGAAATTCAACAAATGAAAGGGACTTGTTTAAATATCTAGCTTTTATGCCCCTTGTAAATATCTACTTACTTTTAGTTTATATTTTTATCTAGGAATGGCTACGTGGTATGCTGCAAAGGTGCAAGCCTTGCGATATGAAGATGCAGTGGTGGAGCTTGCACGCAGAGAGAGAGACTTTTTTAAGCTAGAAAACGAGCTCCTCTGCCTTAAGATTAAGAAATTGGAAGGGAAGAATAAAGGAGAAAACTTTCTCCGGGATACGATTTCAGTGATGTCGGATCATATTGCTGCTGTAAGGTCTGAAGTTGAAGCTTTGCGAGAAGCTCTTTCTGTCAATGAGGCAAAGACAAAGGAACTTTTGGCAGCTGCTCCTGTCTTCAGGTCTCGACCGTTGACCGATATAATGGATGTCATGTGTGTTTTCTATTCAGTAAAATTTTTGGGTAGAACATACGTCTGTTATTTGGGTTCTATAGACTGTGCATTGGTTGCTCCTGTGGTTGATCTATTTGCCAAAAAGTTCAATGCGAGGCTTCGGAATCCAGGTCTTTATGAAATTCACTATGATGGATCTGAAGTAAAGGCCTGTGTCATACCTCGTGGCAGTTGGTCAACATATAACTACTACCCGACGGCTGCAACTCAGCAAAAAACTGATGTACGTATCATTTTCTCTAATTGTTTTGATCTCTTGTTCTCTCCTTAACGTTGTGACGGTTTCTTGTTTTCTCTTGACAGTCTCAGCCAAGAAGCACAGGGGCCGAACCGGGTTGCTCTACACTGCCAAGAGGGACTGGTATACACACATATTTTGATGATGAGGATGACGCAGACGAGCTGCAGTGAAAGTTTTGCAATTGCTTCAATAGTTCTGTAAATGGATGCTAATAGAGATAGACATGATTGACTTTTGAAACACCTAAGTTTTGTAGCAAAACATCAAGAACTGCATTCCTTTGCATAATACGTCCACTGGTTATATGTCTACTTCTGCAACTTTTAGATGAAAAGAAATCACCATGGGATGTCAAACTTTCTGAGGTCCCAGTTTTTCAATAAAAACTCTTCAGCAAACGTGTTCAGGTGTGTCTAGTTTCTTTGCCAAACTTATCCTGAAATCGAGCACGTGTGCCAACTGGAACCATCCTTTTTATGGATGCTGAGGCGTCCAAGATTCCTCAATGGGCATAGAACTGCTTGAAAACGTAGTAGCATATTGCAAAACAAGAGTGAGATTCTGTCAAGATTCCTGAAGTAAAGTTCACCCGACAGTAATCCAGTTGACAAGAGTTTAACTTCACCCCCTGAAGCACCCTGGTTAACTATATATTATTAGTTATGTTAGTTGATGTCTCGCTAAATTTTGTATATTTTGAGCTGCCAAGTTTAGGTTACTCTGAAATACAAAATAAACTGCTCATAACATTTTAAAATTGCAATTTTACATAGCAAAATAAAGCAAAAGCTGCTGAACAAATGAATGACTTTACATTACTGAATAAATGAACTGCCTAGTGCATGCACTAAATTACAAGGGTGCTTACTATCAGTTGGGTATGAAGTGGGCTTAGAAAAACAAATACAATAAACAGGTCTGGGCAATCTCTCCTTTCAAGAAAGCTTAACCAACAAAATTTACTCGTCTGTTCATGGCACATCTTTGGAACAGTGTATATTACTACTAATTTCTGCACAAAATGTATGACTTCACAGACAAAACAGGTACACGGCCAAGCCTGGCCAATAAAAACCAACCCCTTATTCACTAAAGGGTTTGTCTGGAATGAAGTTTGTTGTTCGAGATCTCGATTTATTAACAGTTAATTCCACACTGCTCAACATCCGGGCCAGTAACTCTGGTGGTGAAGGGATCAATCCGCACCCACAACAAAGAGAAGCTGGAAGCAAGAAGGATTGACCACACGACCACAATGGTAGGTGTCCGGTTTTGGCGACCCATCAAACCTTTGAGGAAAGGATAGAGATGAACGATCACCCAGAAGGCAAAGAATAGCTTTCCAAAGAGGGGACCCCAAGACTGGTATCCACTGTTGATTGCATAGGAAATGCCTGCAACAACACCAACCAAGTTTACAATGAGGAGAGTTGCGGGGGGTATCAGAAGGGTTGTCCATTTGAACATGTAGAGTTCTGCAAAATCGCCATCCTCATCTGATGCCTTGGATGTGACTGTGAAGTTGGTATCAATTCCAGCAAGCACCTTGAGCAACCCTTGGACGACAGCGAAGAGATGAGCAGACACACCACCAATGACCCAAAACTGTTCATTCCTCCACCATTCATCAATGCCGACACCACTCCAACGCATCTCAAGAATACCAGTGGCAAAGATTGAAAGAAAGAGGGATATAAACCATATGCTGGCAAAGTTACTAATCTGCAACAAAAATGAGATTCAATAAGTTAGACAAAATAATGTTCATGAACTTTCCTTTTCAGATGCCTGAGATGCCAATATCAAATGCTGTTCTCAATTTAAATCAAGTGCTAATAGCAAAGCTGAACTCTAGCATGGTAAACGGTGACATGGAATATCTTTTCCTTTATAACACACAGAAAGGCGGTGAGGAAGAAATCAAAAGCAAAGATCCATATATGGAACACTTTCAGAATAGCAACCAGCTAAATGCCACCACATATTGACTTGAATGCAATCGACTATGGAATTTTCCATTAGTAGCACAGTACAAAAGTAATTTCTGAACAGAATAACTACTGACATTATGTAGTAATTGAAAGCCAAAAAAATACAACAAAAAAGGTAGACAGCACAAACCTGTGGAATAATAAACTTCCCAGTAAGTAGACAGACAGCAGGCAAAGTACAATAGATAAGGAGAGGAATGGCAGTGACTGGGTAAATGGTTGTATTGACATATGCAAATCTCTCTAGCCACTTCAGCCTTCCACCATACCCATACCATATGGGGCAATGCCGGCTGAAAAGAATTTCCACGGATCCTAAAGCCCATCGAAGCACCTGGCTCAGACGATCAGAAAGATTGATTGGAGCTGACCCCTTGAATGCGGGCCTCTGAGGCATGCAGTAAACTGAACGCCAGCCACGGGCATGCATCTTGAATCCTGTGAGAATATCTTCTGTGACGGAACCATAAATCCACCCAATCTGCAGAGACGGCAACATTGAGTAAAAAGAATGATTAATCTCATGTGCAGAACATAAAGTTGATCAAAAGTTGTGCCAAACATGTCATGATAATCAGGAAGGGCATGTGAAGGGAAAGAGGTCAACATTTCTCATGTTCAATAGTACAATAAAAAATGAGTAACTAAAGTTCATGGAAACAGATTGGTGCATTCAAAAAAGATGAATGCAATGTGGAAGTGATCAAAGTTACTTTGTCGTAGTTTGTAGAGTATGTTTAATTCAGAAAAAAAAAAAAAAAAAGGCTTCATTGTACATAACCTAGGTAGAGGTTTGGTTTAGATTTATCTATTGAGCAGATTTGGGCTTCAACATGAATTACTGATTTATTTCATATATAAATATAAACTACAGATTTGGGCTTATTGTGTGGTTTACGAACGAATCTCGTATAAACTACATTCCCAGTAAACATCTATATGAGAACTAGAACCCTTCAATATTCAGGAACGATTTAGAGTTCCTTGAATGACTTTTATTCTTCTCAAGACTTTCCTACGGTGCAAGGTAACTAAAATTTGTTTTCAGACTCGCTGAAACCACATATCTATGTTGATAGATGAGCGAACGCAATTAAAAATTCTAATTCAGCAAAACTATTATACTTATGTTTGTCCACAGATTCAAAGAAACATTTATAAAACAATTCAAACAGTTTCAACATTAATTAGCAAATTCAACAATACCTCACTTCCCCATTCTGTTTTATCCTCATATCCACAACTAATCACATGAATTGCTTCCTTTGAGAAGTGTCTCTGGTGTAGCAGACTGAGGGACACCACCATTCTCCATAAGAGTTGAAGCAACAAAAACGGCAGACTGACCAAATCTCTTCTCAAGGCTCATTTATGACATTAACAGTGACTTCTCATCATCAAATCCAGCACCTATTACCATCGCAAAACAATCATAGGGTCAGAACTTGTCAATATTAAAAACCAGTTCAAAGAAAGATGACACTCTAGATGACGTCAAGTAGATCTTTTGAGAGAGTATGAAATTCTTTCAAGAGAACAAAAATTTCATAGAGTCATCAAAGAGATATTTAGCAGTATTAAAACTGCTAAGGTGAAGTGGACATCTGAGAAGGATTTGTGCCAAAATACACTCACAGTGATATTGTAATAAACAAGATTCAAACTTAAATCAGTTTTACATCTATTGAAACTAGTTCCAATGTACACACACGAGGTCCAAACATAGAAGCCCACAAACCAGCTCTTACCAGCAAAGTAATCAGCTTTAAACAGGCATCTTACAATTTCTTGATCCTTGGAGAAGAGGGGACAAAGAAAAGGAAAAGAAAAGAAGAAAAACAACGACAACAAAAGGTAGCAGGAAAATAGGAAGTTGACTGTAGGCGTAACTTCATAAATGCCACACAAGCTTGTCAAATATATTAAGCTCATTGCATGTATTGTTTCTACAATTAAAAAAAAACAACGATATGGAAAAGCATATCTGCACCATCCCCCACGACTTAATCATGAAAACTATTCCAGAAATCAGATCTTGTACATATCCTTGATAAGCTTCATTTAACATAGTAAAATATAAGTTCTTTCCAATCTCTATCAAGAATGCACATGCATGAAACTAAGTATGGAGAGAGAGAGAGAGAGAGGCAGAGGGGAACAAATGGAGTGTGTGCATATGTTCATGAGTTTCCGTCTCTGCATCTATATAAATATACATTCAAGGTAAGAAACCAAATCAGATGTTATAAAGCAGTCATCTTTTCATATAGCACAAGCATAACACATCCAGTAACCAGTATTGTACCTTCAACTCCTTCCTCTATAGTCTATATCCTCCAAGCTGAAGATGGGCACAGTAGGATCAACATGCTTGCTAGACTTCTTTTTGTCCGATCCCTTCTTACTTGACTTAGAACTGTTCTTTTTTGATCTACCGAAGCAAGAAGAAAATAGACCTGGTTTTTTGTGCTTAGGTTTGTGAGGAGGCTCATAACCATACAGAGCTGTTCTGTTAAAGACACATCCAGTACCCACATAAACTGGTCCTTGAATGCCATCCAAACCTCTCAAGTTTATCTAATGAACATAGATAAAGAATTATTTTCAGTGGATGGAAAAAAAAAACACTCACAATACCATCAAATCTGTGGAAATTGAACATAAAACTTTATATGAAAAATGGAAGTCATAGAGAAAAGAAAAAGATAAAGTTAACAAGTAATGAAAAACTCACATCAAAGAACACAGTGTTTCGATTTGCATAACGATCACTCCTATCAATACCATCAAATCTCTGTGGAAATTGAACATAACAAACATATTTTCCAAGGTTGGGATCCATCAGAAAGCACATTGCTTCTCGCAAAGCCTTGCTGTTGTTTACATAGTGATCACAATCAAGATTCAACAAGAAAGGTCCATTTGTAAGAACAGCAGAAACACGAACCTACAGGAAAATGCGGATCATAACTCAATAGAAGTGCCAAGACGAGGACAGAAGGAGAATCAGACAATTACTCATTTGCTTACAAGAGCATTCATAGCACCAGCTTTCTTGTGATGTTGGAAGCCTGGACGCTTCTCACGAGAAACATAGACTAATCTAGGCAGTTATTTACCCTCGCTGTCAAGACCTCCACTTTGCCCCAAGAAAACCTGTTAATAATGAAGGAAAACAGAAATAAACTGAAGCAAGTAAACACACTATGACAACTCAACTTCCTGGTGCATAATACATAAAAATCAAGCAAACAACAGCTCCAATTCCATAAAGCCATCCCCCATCTTAACCCATGAAGCCTGACCAAAAGGCTAACAACTGTTACTTGTGCCCTCCTCCCCCTCCCCCCAACACCCACCCCACTAACAGCAAATGAAAAAAACCAAAAAAAAAAATCTCAACATAGAGGACAAAAAGACCACAAAATAGGAAAGCCAAATAAAGAAAAATTGACTTAAAAGCTTTTAATTAACATGTTACATGGACCGAGCTGACAAAATATTAAAACGAAGAAAAAGGATACCTGAATCATGCCTGGATGATCCCTAGTGTTATTTCCAGGCCAAGGTGTACCATCTTGCATGATCCATCCTTCTTCAGGAACTTTCTGGGCTTTAGCAACTAGCGCGTTGATATGTATTTTGAACTCCTCATACTCTCTCTACAGAACAAGCAGACAATATAATGTTAAAGTAAGCAAGCACCAAAAGAGCAAGAAAAACTTAATTTTACCAAGTGTTGCTCCTACCTTCATGGCCCTACGATCTTTCGCAAATGAAGGGTGAACTTTATCTTTCAAATAATCGATCTTCTGGGTAAAATACCACTCTGGAGCCCTTGGTTCAATGCTGTACTTTTTGCAGAAAGGAACCCATTTTCTTGCAAATTCTGATGTTTCTGATAGAGCTTCAAATGTCAACATAGCTGCACCATCATCGGAGACATAGCATGACACCTTGTCAACTGGATAGTCAACTGCAAGAATGGACAGGACAGTATTGGCTGTAACAAGAGGAGGCTCCTTCAGAGGATCAACAGTACTGACAAAAATATCAACAGCAGCTAATTGAGATGGCTCCCCTTCACGATCATATCTGTTACACATAACAGAATTTGCCACTTTAACAACTGAGAGACAGGCCAATATCGAAAATACTGAACCTAGAAGATTCTAGAAAAGAATAAATGATGCAAACAAATAGAGATGGTCTGACCTAAGTGCAAGCCTGTCAAGGTATGTTTCTCAATTCACAGGAAGCCACTTCGGGAACTGATCCAAAATCCAAGAGATAGCAAACCAAATCTCACATATCACAGACATCAGCCAAAGAGGATACGCATTGGACACAGGATTTGTTATTCGGTAGTGCAAGAAAATGCAAAGAATAGCTAGCCGGAGGACAATAACCATCCTGTAAGGATTAATCCTGGATGACGGAATAGAAACCTTTCTCGAAAGAGGCTGACGAGCTTCATCATTCCTGTCATCACAAGTAATAAAAAAAAATCAATTGCTAACTGTTATCATAACAAAACATCAAAGGACCAGAATTTGCTCAGAAGGACAAGCAAGAGGCAAAATGAAATCAGAGTGCAACATATCTTACAGCATAGAAAAGCATCATATGCAATTAAAACAGTTTTTAATTTTCGCTAGCAGACACATTGATAAACTAGGATAAAGGAAAAGGCCATACACATCCCCACAATTGATAGCAATTTGGATACCAAAGAACATGCTTAAGCATCATCCTGTTTTTGTTTAGCAAAGACATGCTAATTATGTATGTTAAGAGAATATAAGTATTCTTGTGGATAATAAATTAGTTAGGGTATTCTTGTAAATAGTTTGTTAGGTTTGTACTTCTATAAATACTAGTTGGTCACTTATAATACAGTGACTAGATGTTTCCCTCCCAAGATACCTGTTAACATGGTATCAGAGCAAAAGTCCTAGGGTTAGGGGTAAACATCTAGCAAAAATACTGTTCACGCAGTACTGTTCACCGCGGCACTGTTCACACCGTTACTGTTCACGACATACTGTTCACGAGTATTGTTCACGGCGGCACTGTTCGCACCGTTACTGTTCACTGCGAACTGTTCACGCAGCACTGTTCGTCTCGAGTTTTGACCTTTTCTTTTATTTGAAGTGATATTCGCTATGGTTGAAAGTTTTGCTAATGAGGTTACCATTGATCAAGTTGAATCAAGTTCTTCAGTACATGGGTCTCAGAAAACTGTTACTATATCCGAGGAAGAGTATGTTAAATTCTTACAGTACCAAGCTACAAGTCACGCATCTCTTCCCTCTGCTTCTTTAGCACAAAAAGGTAATGACTCATGGATTATTGACTCCGGAGCTACTGATCATATGTCAGGTACCTCTAAAAAATTTTCTAATTTTCAAGAGTCTACTTCCTTTCCTCATGTTACTTTAACTGATGGATCTACCACTAAAGTTAAAGGACTAGGCACTGTAGAAGTTAACCCATCTCTTCCGTTGTCTTCTGTTCTTTACGTACCCACTTTGCCCTTTAATTTAATGTCTGTTAGTAAGTTCACTAAATCTCTACAGTGCTCAGTTATTTTTTCTCCTGATTTCGTTGTCATTCAGGATTTGAAGACAAAGAGAACGATTGGTGGAGGGCATGAGCATAATGGTCTTTATTTTCTTAACTTCAATGGTCCGATTGCATGTCCTGCTACTGTTTCTCCTCTTGAAATTCACTGTCGTTTGGGTCATTCGTCTTTACAAAATTTGAAAAAGTTGGTTCCTACTTTGAGTCAGTTGTTTTCGTTAGAATGTGAGTCTTGTCAGTTAGGAAAGCATCATCGTGTTTCTTTTGCTCCTAGAGTCAATAAACGGGTTTCTGAATCCTTTAAGCTAGTTCATTCTGATGTTTGGGGTCCTAGTCGAGTCGCTTCCAAGTTAGGTTTTAAATATTTTGTAATCTTTGTTGACGATTTTTCAAGAGTTACATGGCTTTATTTAATGAAAAATCGTTCAGAATTATATTCCCTTTTTTGTGCATTTGTTACAGAAATAAAGAATCAATTTGGTGTGCCTGTACGTATACTTCGCAGTGATAATGCGAAAGAATATTTTTCCACTCCTTTTAATATCTTCATGACTAAGTCCGGTATTATTCATCAATTCTCTTGTCCTCACACTCCACAACAGAATGGAGTTGTTGAAAGAAAAATTGGACACTTAATCGAGGTTGCTCGGACACTTATGTTGTACATGAATGTGCCCAAACAATTTTGGAGTGATGCAGTTCTAACTGCGTGTTATTTAATTAATCGCATGCCATCTAATATTCTTGGAGGCCAATTACCTCACTCCGTTCTTTTTCCTCATGAATCTGTGTTTAAATTACCTCATCATATTTTTGGGTGTGTGTGTTTTGTTCATTAGCTTGCTCTCGGGGTGGATAAATTAGATTCGCGTGCCATTAAATGTATTTTCTTAGAATACGCACGAGCGCAAAAGGGGTATAGATGTTACAGTCCAGTTTTAAATCGTTTTTTCACTTGTGCTGATGTTACTTTCTTTGAATCCACTCCTTATTTTATGAAGCAAGGTATGTCTTGTGAGTTAAACCAGTGTCCCTCTTTTTCTTCTCCTATTTTACCAGTCCCTTCCCCTTTATTTCCTGAGTTATCTAGTCTACCAGATTCCATAGCTCGATTATCTCATCCTCATCTTCAAGTTTACTCTCGTCGTTCCATGGTTGAGAGAGTTCCTGATATGCCACGCACTTCACCAATTAACTCTCAATCTTCAAATCCAGGTATGACGCCCTCCTCTGAGTTAGATCTTCCTATTGCTTTACGCAAAGGTAAGAGACATTGTACTTCCCATCCTATTTCTAATTTTGTTTCTTATTCTCGTCTCTCTATGTCATATTCTTCTTTTGTTGCTTCCCTTGATTCTATCTCCATTCCTAAATCTATTACCTATGCTCTTAATCATCCTGGTTGGAATTAGCTATGCAAGAAGAGATGTCTGCTTTGGAACAAAATGGTACTTGGGATCTTGTCCCTCGTCCTTCAGGTAAGCCTTTTGTTGGTTGTAAATGGGTGTACACTATAAAAGTGCAGCCTAATGGTTCTATTGATAGATTGAAGGCTCGTCTGGTAGTTAGAAGATTTACTCAGGTGTATGGAGTGGACTACTTAGAAACATTTTCTCCTGTTGCAAAGATTACCTCTGTTCGTCTTCTTATCTCTTTGGCAACAACTTATAATTGGCCATTGCATCAGTTGGATGTGAAAAATGCATTTCTGCATGGAGATTTGGAAGAAGAGGTATATATGGAACAACCTCCTGGATTTGTTGTTCAGGGGGAGAATCCGCGATTGGTTTGTCGTTTGAAAAAAATCCTTATATGGATTGAAACAGTCTCCGAGGGCTTGGTTTGGCCGGTTTAGTAGTGTTGTCATGAAGTTCGGTCTGACAAGATGTGGAGTAGATCACTCTGTATTTTATCGGCATTCTAATGCTGGTAAAATTTTATTAGTTGTTTATGTGGATGATATTGTGATTACAGGTGATGATGTTGTGGAGATCCAGAAACTTAAATCCAATCTGCAGGCAAACTTTCAGACAAAGGATTTAGATCATCTACAGTATTTTTTGGGTATTGAGGTAGCTCGGTCTAAATATGGGATTTATTTATGTCAAAGAAAATATGTACTTGATATGTTGAGTGAAGTTGGGATGTTAGGTTGCTGACCTGTGGATACTCCTATGGATCCCAATGTGAAATTAGCAAGAGATCAAGGTGCATTACTTGATGATCCTAAGCAATATCGAAGACTTGTGGGTAAATTAAATTATCTCACTGTAATAAGACCTGACATTTCGTTTGCAGTGAGTGTTGTGAGTCAATTTCTTGATACCCCTCGTACTAGTCATTGGAATGCTGTTATACGGATTCTCAGGTATCTTAAGAGTGCTCCTGGAAAAGGGTTGCTGTATCAAAATCATGGACACACTGATATTGAAGGATATAGTGATACAGATTGGGCTAATTCTGCCTCAAATCGAAGATCGACTATAGGATATTGTGTGTTTGTTGGTGGTAATTTAGTGTCGTGGAAGAGTAAGAAGCAAACAGTTGTATCCAGATCAAGTGCAGAATCTGAATACCGCGCTATGGCTCACACTGTGTGTGAGTTGGTTTGGTTAAAGAGCATGTTACTGGAACTTGGGTTTGAGCATAAACAGCCTATGAATTTAGTGTGTGATAATCAGGTGGCTGTTCATATTGCGTCTAATCCAATGTTTCATGAAAGGACAAAACATATTGAAGTTGATTGTCATTTCATTCGAGAGAAATTGCTTGACGGGGTCATCAAGACATCTCATGTACCGTCTGTAGATCAATTGGTTGATGTGTTTACCAAGAGTTTAAGGGGCTCTAGGGTGAAATACATTTGTAACAAGTTGGGTGCTTATGATATATATGCTCCAACTTGAGGGGGAGTGTTAAGAGAATATAAGTATTCTTGTAGATAATAAATTAGTAAGGGTATTCTTGTAAATAGTTTGTTAGGTTTGTACTCCTATAAATACTAGTTGGTCACTCATAATACAGTGACTAGATGTTTTCCTCCCAAGATACCTGTTAATAATATACTTGCACCGACACACGACTAGTAGGATAAACAACTTCGGTCAGAACTCACAGTAGAGAATCATCCACCAACACATCTGTGTTCGCATCAATATCTCCCACTCCTCTTTCAGAAGGAGGATGGCTAGTGGTCATCGGAACAACGTTCTTCTCCTGCTTCATTTTCCATCCATCCACTCTCTCTTTCCAGGCAACATTTCCCAACCCTGGAGAACGAAACTCTCTTACAGGATCCACAACCCGTATATTAGCTGCACATAACAAAATACATTCTTGAGATTCCAATAACAAGTAAAGGCCATGGCATAAACTAAGATGATACTCAACAAACAAAGAGAGCTTACGTGATTGATTCATGTCAGACCCGTAAGGAAGCTGATGGATGCGTTTAACACCACCAGGATGGCCTGGCGATGCCATTGACAGGCGTCCAAGAGATGCTTGAGACAACTCCCCAGAAACCTAAAAATCAAGTGTTACTAAAGATTAGTCTGCTTGTGCTAAAAAATTCAGGCACCAAGTGCAAAATAAGAATCCAAAAACATACATCTGTTCCATTTGTTAGCAAAGGAATGTTATTGTTGGATACTTCTTTATCATATTTCGGTAACTCAACATCTTCACCACATCCGTAAGTCATATGCCAGCTCAACATGCGCTCGGCAACCTTTTGCTTCTCATTTTGAGTTTCTGCAGAGTAACGAACATCACTTACATTATCATCAGCAGAACCATCCTCCTCTCCATCACCATCAATTTCAGGGCTTCCTGCAGTTTGACAAATTTAGCAATGTCAGACATCAGGTGATGAGAAAGTCAATATCTTGATCTTGATAGACAATCCACATATGAACACAGTCAAAGTAGGAATGGACAAAATTAGCAAAATCAATTGTATTATGCCAAAAATCAATAGACAATCCACATATGACAACTTGCTTGATATTCTATAACATAAGGTGCAATATCAATTTTTCAACTGTGTTATTCTGCCAAAAACAACGCCAATTATGGAAAAAGATGTGTTGTTTATCAATTGCTAAAATACTTTCGGAATTCCCTCATTTCTATATGAATTCTAGTTCTGTGAATGCACTTCAAATCATCCATCTCTCTAGTAAAGGTACACCTTCAGTCCCATTATCAAGCTTTCAGCAATCATACATGAACCATAAAAATCTTGTACCAAGTATACCTTTATGTCTCTTGTATCTGGTTTTGCACTGAGGGCAAGACTGATTTCCATCCTTCCTCTCATATTCATAACATGGCCTGCATACAGGGAATGCACAGACATCACAAGCAACAAATGGCTTCCCATCCACAGTTTTGCCAACAGTATCACCACAGATCTGGCAAACCTGCCCACCTAAATTCTTCAAGACCTTCCCCTGTAATAAAATCATCACATTTTCCAGCATTCAAATACGGTCATTAAATTTACCAATCTAAATTCACTAAGATGATAATTAACTTTCATACACATTATATTAAAAAAAAAACTGATATTGACGACATACACATTTCCAATTCAAGAAAATGTTAAAAAATGCAGTACCTACAAAACATTTTCATTTTTTTAAGAGCAGCAGAAGAAAAAGGTTTCAATTTTTCCTAAGTTGAATAACCACTAACCTTAGTTTCTCCTTCTGATTCCATGGTCGACTTAATAGCTTCAAATGTCAGCCACTGGATTTGCGCTCAAAAATCCAGATCCTCACGCAATGTGAGCAGAATCCACATGCCAAGAACCTTCAAATTCTTTCCCAAAGCAAAATAATCTCTGCTAACTAAACAAAGTCCCTCAAATTACAAATTCTTTTAACTAAACAAAAAGTCCCTCAAATTACAGATCAGATGAAAAATCAAAAAACCTACCTGAAAAGTTAACTTAAAAAAAAATCACGCTCCACTAAAATCTGCAACATCGACGAAGTTTTTTTCTGAAATGATACAAATAATCTAATTTTCAATCCCTGATCTTTCTGTAACAAAACTTCAGCTTCCATTCAACATTTAAATGAAGTAAACCAACAGTCAACCTCAACTGATCCCATTACCAAAAAAGAAAATAATTTTGCCATTTACTGACATAATTTTCTCTAATAACCCACTTAAATGAAGCTAGCAAAGCAATGCCCACACCCACATGCATCTTTACCCATTAAACTATTCACACTTCAGATCTCAAATCACTAAAAAACAAAGAAAATGAGGACACGTACCTCAAGATCTAGGCTTTACGGCTTGCAATCTCTGCCGACAAAATTATCCACTACAGTATATCACTAGCCAGAAAACCTTCAATCTCAAACCCGATTAGCACAATTCAGAGCTGAGAAATAAGAGAAAGAGTTCCAATGCTGCAAGAACTAACAGAATTGAAATCGACCCAGTTCAGTTCAGACCTCAAAACCGACAGCCCATCAACTCTTTCTCTCTCTTTTCTCAAGAGAGATGTCTGCGTCTGTGGGCAGCTATTTTCCAGCAATAAGTAATAAAGGGAAAGGTGGGGCATAACTATAAAATAACACCGGCAAATTAAATAATTAGATAAAAATGAGGACTAATAATTGATAATGAATTGATTTTGGCTTAGAAAAGACGAAAGCGATAGAGAAGCTGTAAATGAGCTGCTGCTAAGAAGCAAGAAAAAGAAGACGACTAGTGGAGTTGTTGGGATTGATATGATGAAACTAGGAGGCATGAACGCGCTTCGCGCGATAGAAATATAAAATGCCCTGTCCAGTTTTGAAGTAATAAAAATAACAATTTATTTAGAAAAGTATATTTTTTAGTATAGTTATTCCACAAGTTAAGTTTTGTTGATACTTTTTGGCCGTTTCTCACAAAGCCTCTAGTCAATGGCAACCGTCAACTTGCATTTTTTGCAAAACCATTTCTGGTGCAAAAATGGAACCAATGTAGTATATAATATAGAGCAAGAAAAAAAAGAGCATCCCACGAGTTGGTTATTTACTCATTGAGAAAATTTTGTGGCCTATAATAGCAAACACAGTTGGAGTTAAACAAGCCTATAATGTTGTCTAATAGACTACAATCTTAAGCATCCATTCAACACTATATCAAAGTTTCACGATGACAACTGTTTGAGGGGGCCTATACAGAACATGAAATTATGAATCTCTTAAAGACTGTATTCACCTCTTCAGCCAGTGACAAGAACTTTTGAGACTCATCACAAGCATAACCAGAAGAACCTAGAACTAACATTCCCGGAGCAAAACATGCTAAATCATCCATCCGCACATAATTTTGAAAGACAAATATTATAAATTAATAATTACTCCTCCACAAAACAATTAGGATATTTAATCTTTCAAGTTCACACGTCACCTTTGTCAGTTAGGGAATTTCCAATCTTTTCACAGATATATGCAAAGGATGAAGGGGTAGTTCTCTTAACCAAGCTTGAAAGACCTTTCATTGATGTCTCCCACATTTCTCTGCTTGCAGATTCATGAGAAGAGTTACTTCTCCAGGATATTCTAAGTTTATCTCAAAGTGTGAAAAAGAACTTAAGACAACAAAGTAAAGAAATCTACTCCATGCTCAACAACAATGCAATAAGCAATATGTACATTAAACTTCAATGTCATTAGTCTCTCGCTTTGAGCTCATAATACATTTTTCTAATCCCATATACGTGACTTTTCTTTTACCTATATTTTCTCAGGATAGCTGACACACTTTGATACAAGTCTATATATATATATAGACATACACACACACACACAAACATTAAAATAGAAATGTGAATGATTTGCAGAAAGTATGCCTTTTGGGAAAAGATCGATATATCTAAGGAAAGAAATGCCAATGTTTACCTGTAATGATTTACAGAAGCAGTTTTGTTTCCTTGTATCCACACCTTAAGTAAATATTCATAAAAGCTGCCAAAAGAAGAGCTTTTACCATTATTCAGATTACAAATAATACAAAGTAAAGAAAAGAAAAAGTATATTTTCAAAGCCATGGAAATGAGATATACAGGAGGATAATTTTGAAGGGACCTAAATGAAAAACAAATGCTATCTATAGATTATGAGATAATTATAGAGCAAGTACTGCTAAGGAATGTAAACATATTGAATAGATTGTATTTGTCCCCCATAGCCCCAGAAGCGATGGTAGAATAGGATGTTGTGCCCCTCTGGGGATTAACATAGATGGGAAGCAAACCATCAGCAGGAAAGGTCCTACTAAGAAATAAATAACATTCTCCACCTGAAAGTAATGGATATGAATCATCAGCTGTCTGTTAGAAACTTATTGGGAAAAAAAGGTCTATCCTTATCTAACTTAGCCAAAATTCTCTCTTGTTCGAGCACCATAAAATCTTAATATACACTTTGACTATTAAAACTTTCATAAAATGTTCATCTCTTTTTGTCTCTCTCAGACGCACAGAAGAAGGAAAAGGGGGAATGAGCGAGCGAATTACTTGAAAGTGTAAGGAGCTAGTTTTTGGATACCTTCTGCCGATACTTTGGGTTTCCAGTCCTTTGAGAAAGAGCAATAAACTCCAGCTGCTCTATACCAGAATCAGCTAAAATACTATCAACCTGAGAAAAGGTAAAGTTTTACACAATTTGTCATACATATGTATACTCAAGGCATAGACATGACAATGAGCAGAGACAATGCAAGTAGTTCATGTAGAGAAGTAGAAATACAGAAGTTGATTGGGAGATACATGATTTAAATGTAAAGAAAGCCAGGATTAATAAGAGCAATGTAAAGCTCAATTGCCATTATATAATTGTGAAGAATCAGGGAATATTCAGATAATTATTGTGGCAGGTATTGCTATTATTATATCGTGCAACTGAGTCTTGAAAGGACCCACAACAATTTTGTTTTGCTTAAAAGTATAGCAAAAGTCACAGTTGGACAATGAACTTGAGTCTAAATGTTTCATGAAACAGAAAACAAATTAACATATGTATCAACTTACACCAGTCCATCCGGGATTATGCGGATTCCCGTGAGCCAAGCTAATAACGTTATAAGGAATGCTAGAAGGTGTGTCCTATGTAGGCAGTAGCCTATCCGCAATATCCTGAGCCTTTTCAAGGAAAACCTTATCCCCAGACAGATCATATGCACGGAGAAGTCCTCCTACCACTCTGGATTTTGTTATGAAAAATTCATAACCACCAGTTATATGAATGTCTTGTCTACCTCCATTTAAAAAGTTGACAAGAATTTCATATGTTAAAACTTATACAAAGGAAAAGATGAAAACACAAAACTAAAAACACATGAAACATTAAACCTTATAAAACAACCTTATGGTTGTTTCAAACACACTTGCATCATAGTTTTTGTTAAAATCCAAGGAATTTGCAACCCACTTGCCACCAAATGACCAGATAAGATTAGATAGGAAAAATGGGTAAGCAAATACTTACCGATTAAAGACACTTTGCAATTAAAAAATCACCTTACTACAGTGAAACTTTCAGGAGGGGGGAGGGAAAGCAAATTTGGACAAAGATAGTGACAACTTATACGTGTGTGAACAAAGATATAGCAATCATTTTTTAACATGGTGACTACAGAAAAACTAAACAGCAAGTGGAAATTCTATGACATTGCTGCTAATCTTCAATGAAGAAAAAGTCAACAAGCAAAATTTACATTTACGCAAGTGGCTCAAATGTCTTAACTTGTTTTACACTGCCAACTTCATTTTCTTTCTTGAAATTAAAGCATAAAGGGTTTTGGACAGAAATCAAATCCAGCACCGTGGCTATACCAAAACGAAAAAATACCAAGTATGGTTGTCTTCAAATTGGTGTAATTCCTACCTTCTTAACCCGTACAAAACCTTCAACTCTACATCCTCCTGCTGAGGGCGCAGGTCTTTTTGGATCTTTTGTCTTGTCAGATTTATCCTCTAAAGCAAGTCTTTTAGACTCCAATGAAACAGATGCAACCAAAGTTTCCATTGTCTGCAAATAATTAAAAAACCCAGTAATGCCACATATATAATAGGTGACAACATCAACACCTATGCAGGACTACACCATTCAATCATAGGTTTCTAGTATAGAAAAATGATATCAACTGCATTGATAGATATGCAGAGTCATGCTACATATACATTTCCCTTTTCCTTCATTTATTTAATTTTTGTTTTGTTCTTTTACTTCCTTGCTTTTCTTCACCTTATTTTTGCCTTTCCCGTTTAAAACTTTACGCATGCAACTCACTATTGTTTCTTACCTGGACCAGACTTTCAGTGTCTTGATCGCCAAAATATGATTCATGCTCATGATGCCCATGTTCATCCCTATATTAAAACAGACAACAAACTTTTGATTTGAATACAGAAAATTCAAATATTACATAAGGTCATTATAAATGAAAATTTCTGCTACTTAAAGCTAAAGAAGAGAAAAGTTTGCACTACAGAAGGGAATTTTTAATGAGAAAGTTCAGATTAACCAAGACAAACATATAATAAGCAAACGGTTTTTAACAGGCAACAAAGGTCAAAGAATCAAATTTGGACAAAGATAGTGACAACTTATACGTGTGTGAACAAAGATAGCAAAGAAGGTTTAATACAGAGAAAAAGTAAAATTCTGGACCAACATTCATATTAGTGCCATACAGCAGCCTAGCAGATATTGCGCATAGTCCACTTTATGTCTAGGACCCTTTCCACCGAACCTAATAATGCAAGTATTATCAAATTAAATTCAACTTTAATGTCAACGAAAAGGAGAACAAGGTATAAAAAATGAAACTGAAACATTAGAAAATTTCCAACAGGAACATTGCAAGCAAATTCCGAGTATGAAGCTATTGGACAAGGCCAACAAATCATAAGTAAGGATGACAAAAAGAGAATTTAAAAAAAAAAAACTTCTTGAGCAGTTCTCCATTAATTTTTTTTAGTCCAAGAGAGATTTTAAGATCTTACAAGAAGAAAGGAGAAATGGAGAATTAAACCAGTAATATAGGCAGCTACCTCCTTTTCATTATTTCTTCGGCTGTCTTGAAGTCATTGCAAAAAGCTTCTGTCCACAACCGTTACGCCAAACATCCCGATCAGGCACACCTTCAGTAAAATAATTTTGCCCTCCTGAAGTAGCCTCTGTCAAATCTGGATCTGGATCTAGATCAGAATTTGGATGTTTAAGGTCCAAAAATTGCTGCTGCAGAGCCATCACCTAAGCGGATCCTGTGGAAAAATAAAAAATAATTTTTGTATGGCCGACTATGGTAGCCACCAAGGAGCCCAGGACAAGGGACGGAAAAAATACGAACTCCAGAGGGGGGAGGAAAACAGGAAGCTTACAGAAAATATCGGAGTTCACTGGAAAGGAAGAAGGAGAAAGCTCGCGACGGAGGAGGAGGAAAAGCGAACGAACGGCACAAGATCTGGACCGATGCAGGCAACAGCGAAGGCGGTAGCTCCTTGGGCGGTAAGAAGACAATGGAATTGGCAGAACGGAATACCACACCGCAACAAAGCTTTGTACCAGTCTGAAGAGTACGCGGATAAGTGACAGAGCAACATTGTTGTGAGAAAAAAAAAGAAGAGAAAGAGAAAAGAATGACAGAAGAAAGAGAGAGAGAGCAGCTGCAGAGAGAAGGCAGCGGGAAGAGAGAATGCAGCAGAAGCACATGGATACTGGCAGCGAGGCCAGATGGGAAGCTAACGCGCACGGCGCGAAGGACTGAATGCTTCTCATCCACATGCCGGGCACGTGAGAGGACGACGAAAGTTTTGGCTGAATCCTGTTGGGACGTTATCTACTTATGTTGATAAGAGTGATGGAGATTGATATACTCACTCGGGAACTCCACCGACAGCGTAATGCTGGTTGCTAACTAATGGCTAAGACTTTCCTTTTAATTTCTTGTTTTTGAATTTTTGTTTTTTTTTTTACCGTTTGCTAATGGCTAAGACTTTCCTTTTCGAATTTCTTGTTTTTGAATTTTTTCTTTATTTATTTATTTTACCAAATGCCAATTGCAGAAGACAAAAATAACCAGTTTGGATTCCTAATTTTTGAAAATTTTATAAAAAAAAAAATATACAGTAAAATATGACAATTTGATGAATGTGAAATAAAATGGTAATTAAAAAATGTGTTGGTTGAAAACTCATAATTTTGAAACTCAATCACAATGGTATTTTATTTTGAAATTGCAATCCAAACAAGGAATTTTATTTTGAAAACTCATAATATGAAGCTTTAGATATTATCTATTAGGAGTTTGGTGAATTTTTGAAAATTTGAGAAATTTTTCTGGGTGTGTTTTTTACGCAAAGTGTAAATGGTTCTTGATAATTTTTACAAAAACATTTATTAAAATATAACCACACAAAGAAAAATAAGTGAATACTGACCAAGAAATTTTCTAAATCCTTTTCATTATCTCTATTTTCTAGTTCATTTTATTCAAACTTTTTTATTGGGGTAAATTTAAGTGAATTTGTTTTGGCTTCTTTTTTTTTTATTTTAAACAACAAGAGTTGATCCATATTAGATGCTTTTAAAGTTTGGTGCTTTTTGGTCTAACTATATCTTAAAATTTTTAAAAATAGTTAAAAACTTGAACTTTGATATTTTTTTGATTCAAACAAAAAATTTTACCAATTTTTCTTTATCTCTTTATTCCTCATTGTTCGGCCCTTTTCCTATGTAACTTGTTTGTTTTTATTTTGTGGTTGATATTTGATAATGCATAAAGAATCACCAATAGTATAGAATCAAGTGGGGCTTTCATTCAAGTAATTTTTCTCTCCTAAATGTTGTAGCGAACTAAAAAGAATGGATGGTTAATTGTTTAATTGGGTTCTATGCTTTCTGGTTTGTCCATCGTCTGTATTTTGCTTATAACAACAACAACAAAAATAAAAAAACAGACACACATACAAATTATTAGACACAAAGAAAAGAATTATTCAAAGCCATTATGGTAGTTAGTCTGGTATCACGTATAAGTATACTAAACTATTTGTCAAACTCCTCAATTTTATTATTATTATTTTTTTTGCTTAATACGATAGATCTACACTACTCTATACTAAAAGGAGGAGGGGACCTGAAGAGGTTCAAGAACAATTCGAAGGGGATTGAACCACCACCGGTCCAAACGAGTGCTTACGCACCCACTGACAATATTTCCAAAAAATCTGCTGGATTTTTAAAACGTAGATAAGGAGATTTGATCCTTTAACCTCCGTCCAAATAAAATTTTAAAACTCTTTTGATGGCAAATATGGTTGAGCAGATTATGCCATAGCATATAGTTAACTACCACTATAATTATATATTGAATACCAAAGTTACCCTTCAATTATCAACACCAACCTCAGGATCCTAAAATATCTTTTAAAATTATAGCCTTGCATTTTCTAAACTCTATCTTGGTTCTTTTTTTTCGCTCTAGTGAAAAGTATATCATCTCCATCTATCCCTCGTGTTTTTTCCCTCCACAGCCGCATTATTGCCATCATTACCATATTGCGCCTACTCAAACCCATCTTCCTTCCTCATGCATTACCCCTTTGAACCCTTTCTTCTCCTCATTTGACCTACTTCATCGCTTCTCTTTTCTTTAACATAGATGTTAGTCGATGTGAGGTTGTGGGTATGAAACTCAATCACAATGGTATTTTTTTCTTTTTATTTTCAGTAACAAAAGAAATACATTACATGTTTTTTGACTAACTGGTTTCAGGTGGGCTTTGTTGATTCAGATAATTTGAAACCCAATTAATTGCGAACATTGAAATTTTTATGTTTATTCTGAACATTAGTTGGGAAAGTTGGGAATTTCAGGATTACAAGTTGGTCTTTTGGATTAAATTCTAGTTTCAATGAGCTAGAACGAAACTAGAGTTATGATTTAGTTTAGAAAACGAACTCGATTGTGTTTTATGATTTTTTTTTTAAAGGATAGTTTCACAAGAGGTTTTCATAGCAACTTCAGTCACATATTATGTTCTTCTGTATTTATTAATTTAATGATTTAGCAAACCAACTCCAAAAGATGGGTCAATCAGGAAGGGAAGAGATCGAGAGGGTAGGTAACAGGGAAACAAAAATATGATTTATGAAGGGTATTATAGTCAT